TGCCTATTTATTATTTATTTGGAACTCTAGTATCAAGCATGTAAAGCTGACAATTCCGCCTATTGGCACAGACACTTCATGAGCAAACACAAAACCACTGAGATTATGGCTTTTACTTCATCAAATCAAATCAGAGCTTGACTTTGGAAATCCACGTAGAATAAGTAAGGTAACACACATGTGCATGCGCACACAGTCTATGTGTACTGCACAGAGACACAACACACGGAGCCCAGGAAGTCACATGGCAGAACGTTGTAAGTGGAAGAAAGCCACAAATCAAAGATAGGCCATCTGATATTCTGAAAATTATTTGTATTAAGTCTAAAAATGTCCTCCTCAGAAAATGCCATCACTATGAACAGAAGGCAGATTAGTGATGGAAAACACTGACAGGGATCTTTGGGGAGAAGTCCAAGAGTAGGCTAATTATGAGCTAATATGGCAGAGTGTGCTGCTCAACGGGTCTACCCTGGTTTACTTTACAGAGACGCCACATTTGATTCACCAGCAAGAACACGAGTAGGAGTTATTTTTCCATAAGCTTACAATAATAAAACCTAGTGAAGTCAAGGAACTTGACCAACATCAGAAAAGATGAGCTCTCTGGAGCAAACTGGAGACAGGGGCTGAGATCAGGGTCTGGGCTATTTCGCCCAATCAGAGTTCCCTGAATCAACAAAGCCAAAGGATAAGTAAGTAGATTTTTTTTTTCAATTAAATGATCATTGACTATTCTTAATGGTTGTTGTTGAAAACACATAGTAATAAACATACATCCATTAGTAAGTAGATTTTTAAAAAAGACTTGCTCTTATTCAAATGCTGTATGTTTAAAAATCTAGAGCCTCTTTTAAAATATCTTAATCTGATGACTTGCTGGAATACATTCTGATACTAATTTTACAAAAGGAAGTCATAAATAAACAGCAGAGTGAAAGGGGGGCTGCTGTCATCCCACACAGCCTTTGTCCAATAATCATTACAATGTCTAATGATCATTACTCATGCAGAAGTAGCCTACCAGTGTCTTCCTGAATAATTTCTCTCTCTTTAACTATTAATTTTTTTTAAAAAAAACTTACAATTGCACCATACATCATAATGTCAACTTCACTATAGAACTGTTTTGAAATAGAAGTTTAAAGCCTGATTTTTAATCCAGTCTCCAAGATTCCCTGGTTCTATAGGATCAGGCAGTCTATTTTATCACTGTAGTGTGGAATATGGTTTTATCACTGTAGTGACAATATCACGATGGTGTTTTACACATTTTAGAGTATCAAGAAAGGAAATAATGTAAGGACACTTTGAGGCTGCTGAACTTTAGGTACCACTGTGACTGACTCACCACCATGAGAATATGGAGTAAAACCTTTGTCCACACACGTTGCAGGCAGCTGGTGAGAACTAAGGGTGCCGCCGCCAGACCAACAAAGAGAACAGAGCCCTTTCGGTCCTGCTCCCAGCATCATTAATCCTGCTTTCCTAAGCACAACACTGCTCAAGTCCAACTGCCTCTGATGAGCCTGGCCTTTGGACGAATGAACCTGGCCTAGCCAGGAACAGCAGGCAGATGAGAAAATGAGCAGTTAACACACTCGATGAGGAGCTGGCACCGCAATGGAGATTCACAGAACCAAGACTGCAGACACGGGAGGCCAAAACAAGAAAGAAGGAAGCCCAGCGTCCTCATCTGGTGACCAAACTTGTGAGGCCTAGGACTTGACCTCTTAATACACAGGTGCCTTGAAGCCCCAGAGTGAAATAGCATCCAATTTAATTCTTTTGGAAGTTTTAGAGGTCCATTTTCCTTAAGCAATGCACATTCATCATCTTCCAGCTCCTGCTGGTCATGTCCTGGGCTCAGCGGGGTGCTCCTGCCTTGGGGTGCCTTGAGCAGCCCCTGGGCACCTCCACAGAGTCTGCAGACAGTGAGGACCTCAGGTGTTCACCGGGGAAGCTTCTAAGTGGCACATGCGCATGGCCCTGGGGCCAAGGTCTCAGTTTCCATATTGCTGTGACAGGAGCCTTAGTTCCTCTCCCAATGGGCTTGCTTGCTCCAGGCTGCCTGTCCCCAGAACCTGGCTGCTGGCTTCCAGCAGAGTGAGCAAACCAAGCCCACATGGGCAAAGAGGAGGATGCAGCCCTTGCACGACCTCGGGCTGCAGTTATGCGCTCAGTTCTGGCCAAAGGCACAATCTTTAAGTGACCTACAATTCAATGGAAAGCTTTAATTTCAGGAAGAATCTTAATGCCAATGTCTAGATTGCAGTTGCACAACCTTTATTAAGCAGATCTCTCCAAGCTGCATCAGACTGTTTATTCCCAAATATTTGTTCCCTGCATGTTATTCACTTATAGAGCTAGAAACACCAGTGTGCTGCTTTAATCATAATATAGTTTGTCCACAATGATCTTGACAGTTAATCCATTTGGTGAATTCATGTCCATAGATACAGAAAGGCAATGACTGGACATAGATTTATGCTTGTTTTTATTTTTGTTTTGTTTTAAATAATGAGCCTTGTGATTAGTTTTAATTAATAGTAGTTAGTTAGCAGCTAAGGACTTCTGGAAAGCTGAAAATATGATTCAATGCACATTATACTTTTCCAAGATTTCCTCTGCTACTTAAATCCAGCTACACAGGAAGTAACAGAATTCTACCAGAACTGCCTTATCTTTTTGGTTTGGTCAAGTTTTACAACTCATAAAAAATGACCAATGACCCCCGTCCCATACACACACATACCTACAAAGAAGACAAATGCTGAGGCTCAGGTCTGTCTCAGGTTAGAGGAGGTGAATGGTGCCTGGAGGTTTGATTCTTCCTGACTTTACCGCTGAAGGATCTGGAGGAGACATGACCTTATTCTCACATCAATCTTTGAGGAGATTTGGGGCAAGTGTGTAAGTGGAAATTACTCTTTCCTATTGCGTGCCGTTTAATGTTACCAATCTGAGTGCTGGTTTGAAAGCTCCTTGCAGACACGGAATGCATGTGGTTCAGCGTGTAGGGTTCTCTCTTGCTGTCCTTCTCACAGCACTGTGACAGTGCAGCATCCTCACCAGGAACTCAGCTGGTGAAAACCCCCCAGCAAGAGCCAGGGAGGTTCTGCAGGGATCTCGTGTCCTCAGGTCAGTGCGGTCGGAAAGCTCTGCCACTGTCCAGAGGTGGCATATTTTATTAGCGTCCAGCATAACTCAGACCCATGATTCCTGTCACTTTCAGGATGTAAACAATTCCCACTTTGAAACATCTGAGCAGAGTCCTGCTGCTTAGCGCTGAGCCGTGGGTCCCCTGGGAGCACCCATGGAGCAGGGGCCTCTCTGGTCATCTCCCCTTCCTGTGTGTTTTCCTTTATGAAAGCATTGGAGATAGAGAAAGCTTTGTGTCTCTTTCCCTTAGACTACACACACACACAGGCCACTGGTGGTCAGGACACGCTTACTCCTACTCCCTCCTGTAGGTTAAACATTTACCCAAGGGCATATGTCCCGTCTGCTGAGGATATGTATGCATTGCCCGGAGCTGGGCACTGAGGCCTCTCGGCTGAGGATAGCTTAAACCTCTGGTGCAGTTTTGCACCTCCAAGAAGAGAAGACTGTGCCTGTGTGTTTACCTTATGCCCCTCCTTTACGTACTGAAGGGCGTTCTTCAAAACAACACCTTGTCTCCTCTGAATTCTCCTATGCAGAAAGCCAAGCACTGCCCTGTTATGTTCACGGAGATCCGGCTAGATTTCCAGAGCTCCATCCTTGAGCTCTCAGGCAGTGCCGAGGCGGGGGCAGGGAGCGCAGTGCCGGGGTGCTGTGGGCCCGGGGGCAGGGAGCGCAGTGCCGGGGTGCTGTGGGCCCGGGGGCAGGGAGCGCAGTGCCGGGGTGCTGTGGGCCCGGCGCAGGACCTTAGACTGCAGCAGCGGCCTCGGGAGGGCTCGGCCGCCAGAACCTGGCACGTGTATTTTGTCACATTCGGGGATAATTTCCTTTAAGTCATGGAGGAAGTTATTTATTGGCTGTCATGTAGGGTAGGTTTTACACACATAGTATGTTTTGATACAATTTCTGCCCCCAAAATGCTCTCGAGCGTAGCTGTTCATGTTGCTGGCAGCTGCGGAGGGTTACATGTCCGTGGGAAAGCAGTGAGTTCCAACGGCGACCTGAACACACTCACTCACGTGCGCTGAGCAATTCGGGGCAAGTCTGATTGCACCCTGCTTATCCTGTTTAATCTCAGCTACTAGCTGCCTGCTTCTCAGGCTTGGAAACACCCTCCTATTTTCTACAAAGCAAAGAAAATAAAAGAACCAAGCCAGGAGACCAGATGCAGCTTAAAGCCTGCAAATTATTCTAGGACTTGAGCTTCTTTCAGGCTCTGTTTTAAGACTCAGTACTCTTTATATTTGTCCAACAGGAGGCTCAGAGGGTTGAGAATGCTTCACTGATCGGAAGCGGGGGCCGCGACTCCCCCACCTCCTCCACTCAGTAAACTAAGGGAGCAAGCAGCCCGCTCAGACGGTAGCTGCAGCCTTAAAATGCAAACCTCAGAGAAGACCTCGCGCCCAAGAAAGAAAAGCCTGTGTGTCCCTGCTTACCGTTTCCTACTTTGATATGCGTGTGTGTTTTTAATTTGAAACACTGAGCAATCACCTTCAAAGGGCCCTCCACAACCAGGGAAAGCGGCGCTGCTGCGGGCGTGAGACCTGTGTGCTCTCCCCTCCCCACCCAGAGGGTCCTGGCCGCTGCCTCCGGGGACCCGGCGGGGCCTGCGCTGTGCAGGGGTGCTTTCCGAGATCCCACCACAGCCAACTCCATTTAAAGCAGTAATCACTCAACCGCGGCCGATTTAGTGATTGTCCCTGCTATTCTACAATGCCGCTAGCAGAATGGGCCTTCTGACGGTCTCCCAGGTCACCCTCCAGTGACAGGGAGGCAGCTGCCGCGCCCACGCCGGGGCTGTCAGTGCGGTGGTGACGGCCACACCTGGCAGGGCCACAGAGCGCCTGGGGTGCGGGCTGTGGCCACCCGCGCGCGGCAGAGGGAGCCCGGGCGTCTGTGCTGCATTCGCAGCCTGGCTGAAGTTCCAGCCGCTCCGGCCGCGCCTCACCTCGGCTGCGATGCGCCGGCTGCTGGCCGCCGGGAAAGAGCCCATTTTGCTTTCTTAGAGCAGGCGACGAGCGGTGAGCCGCCTGAGGAATTTGGCAAGGGGACGAGGCGCCAGAGGCAGCTGGGTGCCAGCAGCTAAGTTGTGAGGTCGCCCTGGTGGCCCCCGGGGGAGCAGGGGGACGAGACAGGAGCGGGCGGCTGCGGATCAGAGGGCGTCGGGCAGCAGCCTGTGTCCTGCCCCTGCTGCCTGTGGCTGAATAAAGGAAGGAAGCCGGAGACACAATTGCCGGCGAGCGGCGTTCCTGAAAGGAGAGCGCAGACACCCTGGAAGGAGGACGACCCCGCCTGTGCAAGGCTTTCGGCAAAGGAGAGTCCCTCAGGTAAGTCCGCCCCGACTGCCATGCCTCATCTGCCTGTGATTTGTGTCTGTCTGTCTCGATTCTTTTCCTCTGCACTTCGCTCCCCAGCCGCGGGGCTCTCCCAGTGTGCGTTTGTAAGAGCTGCTCTGAATTTCTGAGGTGTGGGGCTCCATTGAGATCCTGCTTTCCCAGGCATTGTTTCATTTTAAACGCAGGCTGAAAGATGCTTGCGTTAGTTTCCGGCAACTTTCAGGGGGATATCTGCAGAGGGCCACGCAGGGCTGGGTACAGGCTGGGTGTTCCCTGATCCCTTGAGCTTTGGAGGGAAAAATTAGAGGCAAACAGAGAAGAAAAGTTGAGGGCTTCCAGGGAAGGGTTAAAGCCAAGATGTCACGGCCGGCATCCTGTCGCCAAATGCTTTCAGGCTTAGCATCCAGTCTGGAGCCCGCCAGCCTCGCTCTGCCTGTCCAGCCTTTCTAGTCCAAGAATGGAGCCTGCAGGTTTACTTTCCAGAGATGACTGCTGCCCTGGGTCCTGGTGTGCAACTGCTGTGTGTGCCGACGGAGGCGGCCGGAGCCCCGACTTCTGCAATTACATCATCAGCACCCTCGTATTTTATAATAAAGAGGACGGCGGAGCAGCGACAATAGTAATCTCAGCTGCCTTTAGCACCCGGGCTGAGATGACAAAGCTTAAACTCAGTTTTCCTTCCCAGGCTTCCAGAGAGGAAAACCCGAGGGGTGGGTGACGCACAGAAACACGAGTTTTAAAAATACTCTGCGTTTCATTAAAAAGTGAAGGCTATGCATTTATATCATTTTGGAATTTATAAGAACTGTAATGCTTTTTTTAAAAAAAAATCTTGCCGTCCTTTGCTCTTCAATCTTTTTTCATAAAGTGGGTAAAACTGGCAAAAAATTGTAGGTACATGCATTTCAGTTAAATGAGTTTTACTAGAGCGGAGAAACAACAGAATAAGAAAGTTCATTCTGTTTCGTACATGCAAAATATTTTACAAATTTTTAGTGTTGCATTGCACAGAGATCTAACATTAAAGCTCTGGGGCCCTGATTTTTTGTTTCTGTTGGTTCTACTTTCTCACAGTGTCAAAGGCCAGATGTGACAGGGGTACATGGGATGTGGCCCTGATGTAGTGTAAAGCAAGCTGCTAACCTTGTGATTTGTGTCTGCCTAATCTTCTAAATTGAAAGCCTCATCTTGCCAAGTGGTAGGGAGCGGGAGCACTGACTTGGGTCTACAACAAAATGATGCAATCAGTTGCTTCAAAATTCCATATATTACTAATAGTATCAAAACATGGTGCATGGCCACCAGCAGTTCTTGAGACCCGACAAATGACAGAAGATGGAGGAAGTGTTAATTTCCATTCAGGAGTAGAAGGGGCAGATGTATTTTTCTGTGTTGACAACTCCTATGGGGGAGGTTATGATACCGGCAGAGGCAAAACACCACAGTGAGAACGCAACAATCCTTTCACAGAATCCTTTCAGTGCTTATTTTTGAAACTAATACAGTGATGTAAGATAATCTCAAAGAGTATTTGAAACTTTCATTTACAAATGAGAGTTGCCTTTTCAAACTTCGAAAGTTGTCTTTTCAAACTGCAATGGAATTTTGTTGTAAAAGTCATTTCAGTAGAATTGTGGGTAATAGATCCACAATTTTGAGGGTGGGTAGTAGATCCAGATACAGTGCGTTCAGTTATCTGTTGTTAGACTTCTGTCAGAGCACTTCGGAATCTTCTGTCCATGTCGGCACCATTTGCCTCGCTGCACCTGTGCCTAGGTGAGATTCGAGGTGAGCTTATTAGGCAATCCCAGAGAACTCACCTCATGTGCTGTCCTAGGGAGATAGGTGTGTGCCTCCCCAGACCCTATAACTCCTCTGATGGCTTCTGGTCCTTAAATATCTAGCAAAGAAGAATGTGGTGCTTAGGAGCCCACTGGGGGCGGACAAGAGTGCAGTGACTCTTCACAATGACAATGACACTGAGTAGGTGCGTGGGGGTGGTGGCAGGGTCCAGGGAGACACGCTTAGTTGTCTTTGCCCACTTGAGACAAACCTCTGTCTTTGAACACTGAGTCACTCTTGGGGTGATAAAGTCTTTTCCTGCACTTCCACTTCTGTTGGCTCCTCAGCAAAGGTGTGCGCAGGCTCTTGAGGCCCACGTCACCTGCCCTGACCGAGAGGTCAACATCACCAGCTTCTGCTGTACCGTCTCCATCCCGCCCCTTTCCTAGGCTAGGACTTCAGAAGTTGTGAAGATACTGGAATTGCCTTACTAGCTGAGAAAGCATTCTTGCTTTTCATCCACAAATTTTAGGAATTTTAAATGCATGCCAAATTCATTTCCCAAATACACTTTTACGGCTGGAAAACTACCTCTGGCTGTTCTACAGGTCATACCTGATATCAGCATACTTGGTAATGGGCATTTAGAATAGTATCACCAAAGCAGCAAGTGCAAATTAAAAGAATTAAATTTGCGTATCTCTGCTGCTGTTGTTTTTACAAAGCATTTCCGGATCTTACGTTGGCCATGCTTGAATTGCAAGGCTCCAGTTCCTTTCCAGTTTAAAAAGAAAAGAATTTACTGATGGTCCTCTGGGTCTGTGTCTTGACTTTTGGGCACACAGGAGACAGAGCTTCCGGCTGTGTGATCTCCACAGAGGTCATGGGTGCCACGCAGCGTCCACTGCTCTGCAGTCTGTCAAGACATAGTTAGGGAGACGGGAGCAAGGATTCCACCGCTGCGGCCAAACCCCGGAGGACAGGCAGCAGAACGACACAGAATCATTGTCCTTCTCATGGTGACAGTCGTGAGCCAAGAGGCATGCCTGCTCCTGTCTCCCATAGGTGCTACTTATGCTGTGTACTTCAGTCTGAGCGTTCAGCAGTAATTATAGTCTTCATATAAGAGACAGTTTTATATTGCTCCTCCTACACAAAGAATTAAAAAATATTTTGTAGAAATAAATGCTGGATAACAAGACAAACTCAGGATTATAAACTACAGGCAGGGTTTGCAAGGCATTTTTAAAAGGCAGCCGTGGAAGTCAGGTTTCCCTTTCAGATATTTTCTTGTCTTCACAAGACGGCTGCAGTGGCACCTGCTGCCACTCCTCCTCCCAGCAGTGGGTCGGGATGGCCTCCCGTCCTGTGCTGGGGTGAGCATGCTTCACTTTCCGGCAATCTGGTGCTTGCGAGTCTGGGTGCAATATGTCTTTTTGATAGAGAAAAAGTGTTTTGCAGGAAAATATTTTGCTTCATGTGTTTCATAACTGAAAATAACATACTGCAGAAGTAGCTTTTCCAAGCTTGTATAATGAGAAGGGGGGAAAGGGTGGGGCAGAAGGAGAGAGACAGACAGACAGACAGAGACAGAGAGAAGCATGAGAGACGGAAAAGCAAAGAAAGGGAGAAGGGGCAGTTGTGGGCTCACTGGGCAGGGCTGGCTCTTCTCACTGTTGACTTGCAGTGGTCCTGGCGGCCGTGCCAGCAGGACAGAGTCCCGGAGCAGCAGGAGGAAGGGTAGATGTGTTCTGAATCACATCATCGTTAAGTGGCTGCACTTGAAAATCTGCTGTTTATCTGTGAGGAGTCTTAGGTGCAAGTTGCAAGTGTGATAAACCTGGAGAACTGATGCTCACGTTCCGCAAGAGGCCAGTGCGTTTCCTGCCTCGTAGAAAATACCAAAATGTGTAAATCCTGGCCCAGTACCCACTGGCTGGGTAAACCTGGGCCACAATTTTCCTTTGAAAGCCTGGGTTTTCCTGCCCAGGTTGTGAGGACTGCTTCCAGGTCTCGACTTGGTGATCCTATAAAGCCTGCACTCCACAGAGCCCGTGGTGGACCCCATTTGAAATGTAGTTGTGGGGTTGCTTGGGTCTGGCTGTGTCTGAGAGCCCGGGCCTGTGTGCAGAGCACTTGCCTGCCTGGTGAGCTGAAGAATGTGGATTGTGCTCACAGAGCTGAGTGGAAATTTTCTCAACCTCTTTTCCTTCTGACAGCTCGGCAAAAGTATTGGCCTCGTGATATTCCACTTAGCCGTGTGCAAACCTCTGTATCCAAGGGGGCTGGGCTCCAGGGTCCCTCACAGATATGAAAACTGTATAAATTGGTGTAGAGTTTTCATATAACCTGTGGTCATCCTTCCACATGCATTCAGTCTCCTCCGGGTCTCCAGTAACTCACACTGTGATGGAAATGCTCTGCAAGTGGCAGCCACACAAGAGGGGTTGGTGGGTGATGATGCGAAGTCAGCACGTGTTCAGTTCAGTGTTTTCGGGCGGGTCTTTAAGACGCTTTTGACATACAGTGGGCTGACTCCACGGACGCAGCACCTAAAGGCTGTGTCTGTGTCAGAAAGTATTCGCTGCTGCTCTCACAGACGCCGGTAACAACCGGCTGGTGTTAGTGCACCTAGACGCCCACTTTTTACGGTCACTCGCGGCGCAGTGCCTGTAGAAAGAAACCCACACACCCGCTCAGCTAGCCTTGCAGCCGTCTCCTCTCCCCTCCCGGTGGCCCCCTCCCTGCGGGGCACACTTGCTAGAAGAGGCTACAGAGACAAGGTGCAGGGCTGCAGGGTGCCAGAGGCAAACTTCACCAGCAAAGCTCCAGAGCCTAAGGGCATTGAGTGCTTCCTTTCATCATAGGCTATTAATTGGCAGGAGGCAAACCATATAGGCAGTTTTACATATAAAATAAAAATGTAACTCATTACTTCTTAGAAAGTAGCCTATAGGAAAAGAAGATTTTGCCCCGTTACCTAGCAAGGTGTCACTGTTCCTGGAGCGTAGTGGAAAGATGCAGTTTAAAAAATAATAAGCATAAGAAATATCGTGCTTAAGAAATAAACACAATAAACCACAACGGCCACGCTGTAACCGCCGTCTCCCTCTTTAGCCTCATGAGATTCCTGCCTCCGTCTGCTCTCTGTCCTGGTGACCTGCACGCCCCTCAGTGGCCCTGTCACCTCGGAAGGGGTCCCGCCCACC